GAGACAGTAGTGAGAGAGTCTGAAGGTAAAGGAGACAGTAGTGAGAGAGTCTGAAGGTAAAGGAGACAGTAGTGAGAGAGTCTGAAGGTAAAGGAGACAGTAGTGAGAGAGTCTGAAGGTAAAGGACAGTAGTGAGAGAGTCTGAAGGTAAAGGAAACAGTAGTGAGAGAGTCTGAAGGTAAAGGAGACAGTAGTGAGAGAGTCTGAAGGTAAAGGACAGTAGTGAGAGAGTCTGAAGGTAAAGGAGACAGTAGTGAGAGAGTCTGAAGGTAAAGGAGACAGTAGTGAGAGAGTCTGAGGGTAAAGGAGACAGTAGTGAGAGAGTCTGAAGGTAAAGGAGACAGTAGTGAGAGAGTCTGAAGGTAAAGGAGACAGTAGTGAGAGAGTCTGAAGGTAAAGGAGACAGTAGTGAGAGAGTCTGAAGGTAAAGGAGAGAGTAGTGAGAGAGTGAAGGTAAAGGAGACAGTAGTGAGAGAGTCTGAAGGTAAAGGAGACAGTAGTGAGAGAGTCTGAAGGTAAAGGAGACAGTAGTGAGAGAGTCTGAAGGTAAAGGAGACAGTAGTGAGAGAGTCTGAGGGTAAAGAAGACAGTAGTGAGAGAGTCTGAAGGTAAAGGAGACAGTAGTGAGAGAGTCTGAAGGTAAAGGAGACAGTAGTGAGAGAGTCTGAAGGTAAAGGAGACAGTAGTGAGAGAGTCTGAAGGTAAAGGACAGTAGTGAGAGAGTCTGAAGGTAAAGGAGACAGTAGTGAGAGAGTCTGAAGGTAAAGGAGACAGTAGTGAGAGAGTCTGAAGGTAAAGGAAACAGTAGTGAGAGAGTCTGAAGGTAAAGGAGACAGTAGTGAGAGAGTCTGAAGGTAAAGGAGACAGTAGTGAGAGAGTCTGAAGGTAAAGGAGACAGTAGTGAGAGAGTCTGAAGGTAAAGGAGACAGTAGTGAGAGAGTCTGAATGAAAAGGAGACAGTAGTGAGAGAGTCTGAAGGTAAAGGAGACAGTAGTGAGAGAGTCTGAAGGTAAAGGAGACAGTAGTGAGAGAGTCTGAAGGTAAAGGAGACAGTAGTGAGAGAGTCTGAAGGTAAAGGAGACAGTAGTGAGAGAGTCTGAAGGTAAAGGAGACAGTAGTGAGAGAGTCTGAAGGTAAAGGAGACAGTAGTGAGAGAGTTTGAAGGTAAAGGAGACAGTAGTGAGAGAGTCTGAAGGTAAAGGAGACAGTAGTGAGAGAGTCTGAAGGTAAAGGAGACAGTAGTGAGAGAGTCTGAAGGTAAAGGAGACAGTAGTGAGAGAGTCTGAAGGTAAAGGAGACAGTAGTGAGAGAGTCTGAAGGTAAAGGACAGTAGTGAGAGAGTCTGAAGGTAAAGGAGACAGTAGTGAGAGAGTCTGAAGGTAAAGGACAGTAGTGAGAGAGTCTGAAGGTAAAGGACAGTAGTGAGAGAGTCTGAAGGTAAAGGAGACAGTAGTGAGAGAGTCTGAAGGTAAAGGACAGTAGTGAGAGAGTCTGAAGGAAAAGGAGACAGTAGTGAGAGAGTCTGAATGAAAAGGAGACAGTACAGAGAGCACCTTTTACCCTCCAGGCTCTCTCCAGCCCCTCTCTGAGCCCTTGGGTATTTCTCAATATTTAGGCCCGAGCCCCGAACGGGGAAAGGGCCTATTGTTTTTGCTCGAGAGATGTCAAATTCTGCACTTTGAGCCTTAATTTCACCCCCTGAACATGCATGGAAAGTTGTAAAATTTTGCCCAAACATCACACCTGGTGAAAAATTTGATATTTGGGTGTTTATTTTTATGGGACTCAAAAAATGCCAGAATAGCGCCACCTACAACAGCCAATGGGAGTTTCAGAGGTCAAGTTTGTCGTAGAGCCATGAAATTCGGTACACATGTTCCTCAAGTCAAGATACGACCGAAATGTTACCATGGCTCCGCCCTCTGACAAACAGGAAGTCCATAAATTTCACTGCAAAATGGAAAAATGATCCGCAATCATTTTCATACATGTCGGTTGGAAAGCGACTCCTCCTCGGCCGTTTCACCGATTGGCCTCAAAATTGTTCCAAATCATCTCAACACATTTACCTTCAAAATGACTTCAGGGAATTTTGATCAGTGAAACGTTGTTTGAGCAGCGGAGCAGCAAAATGTGAGTGTTTTTTTGGCCGTTTTTGACAACATAAATTTTTTTCCCGTGTAGACAAACAAAGATTGATTTGCATTAAACTTGAATCCATTGTTCAACTCCAGGGTTTAGGTCAGGTGAAAGTGAAATATTTGAAATTGGCCCATTAGCGCCCCCTACAGACTGATTCAAAGTTTACATGGGGAGCCAAACCAGCTCTACTTATCATATTCATTACAATTTGACTAACTTCTTCTATGGCTACGGGAACAAATCATCACACGGCGGCGCCACCTCGTATGCGCGGTGCTGCATGGTACAGTGTGGTGCGGCGCGTTGCGGCTTGGTGCGTGGCGGCGTGATGCGGGACAGCGTGGTGCAGGGCGGCGTGGTGCGGGGTGGCTTGGCACGGGGTGGTGCGCGCGGTGCGGGGAGTCGTGCGGTGCGGCGAGGGCCGTTCGACGCCGCTTGCGGCTTTAATTTTACATGTTATTGTTTCGTGTTCTTGTTTTGTGTTCTTTTTTTCCTGATGTTACCATTGCTTGGATTTGCCACGTCCACCAGCACGGCTTTCTTCTGCCCTGTGTCTACCATTACAATGTCAGTTTCGCCATTTAGAAAAAAATAAATAATAATTTTTATATATATATATATGTATATATATATATATATATATATATATATATATATATATATATATATACTGCTGCCACAGTTCTCAAAAGTTTTAGAAAAAATATTTGCTGCTCGGTTGGAAAAGTTTGTTGAAAAATATGGGCTGTTAAATGAGAGTCAATATGGATTCAGAGCGAAAAGAACCACCAGCATGGCCTTAACTGAGGCAGTTGAAGAGATAACAAATGCAATAGAACACAAATTACATGCAATTGGAATTTTTATAGACCTGAGAAAAGCTTTCGATACCATTAACCACTCAATATTGTTGGTAAAGCTTCAGAAATATGGTGTCAGGGGTGTAGCGGGGAACTGGCTAAAAGATTATCTCACAGAAAGAGCACAGTTTGTTCAAATGGAAAATTATGTCTCTGAAAGTCTTGGCATTGCGTGTGGTGTCCCCCAGGGGTCAGTGTTGGGACCTATGTTGTTTAACCTGTATATTAATGATATTTTCAATGTGTCAAAGTCTTTAAAACTAATTCTTTTTGCAGATGACACTAACATTTTCTACAGTAGTTCGGACTCATCAGAATTAATCAACACTGTAAATATTGAGCTAAACAAACTTAAAAAATGGATGGACACAAATAAATTGTCATTAAACGTAAATAAAACAAAAGTAATGACATTTGGTTACACGAAAGCATGTCCAAATTTAAAAATTTTCATTGATGGAGCCGAAATTGAAAATGTTACTGAAAACAAATTCCTAGGGGTAGTTATGGACAACAGCTTATCATGGAAAGCTCATATAAGTCATATAAAGACCAAAATAGCAAAAAATCTCTCAATTATAAATAAGGCTAAACACTACCTTGATACTCACACACTACGCTCGTTATATTGTTCATTGGTTCTACCCTATCTGACATACTGTGTCGAAGTGTGGGGGAACAATTACCATTGTACAATAAAACCTTTATTATTATTGCAAAAACGAGCTGTGCGAATCATTCACAAAGCAAGCTACCTACAACACACTCATGAACTTTTTACCCAATCTAAATTATTGAAGTTTCCAGACCTTGTTAAGCTCTACACATCAATTGTGCTATTTAAAGCATTTAACAAATTGCTACCATGTAAAATACAACAATACTTTATTCTTAATGAAAAAACATATAATCTAAGAGGTCTTGGAAACTTCAAACTTCCAAAATTCCGATCGACTCGTAAAAGTTTCTGTGTGACTGTATGTGGCGTGAAATTGTGGAATGTTCTTGATCTCCAACTAAAACAATGCCAAGACATTCATAGATTTAAATCACTGTACAAAAACAATGTTTGGTCTGACTATAGAGGGAATATGCCTTGAATATATCTTCATGTTGCCATGTATGTATGTTTCTTGTATGTTTGTAATTGCCCCTGTTGTTGTTTCTTTATCATTGCTGTATCCTTACCATTGTTGGTATCGTCTGTTCCTTACCATTGTTGGTATCGTCTGTTCCTTACCATTGTTGGTATTTGCTGTCCCTATGTACCATATTGGTATTTACTGTCTTTACCATTGCTGGTATTTTCCTTATGCATTTGTTTTGCATCCTTGTAATACGTATCTTGTGTGTATATGTCCTTAAACCCATTAATTGCTACTTAAAAAACCTGAACAGTTGATTCAAATGTGCCATTTGATTTGTTTTTGTACTTGAGCAAATGGGAAGCTCAATGAATAATGTTTTGTTTTGTTTTTTCTTTAAGGCACCAGGGGTGGGATTAAATAAGTTTTCTTCTTCCCACTCCTTTTCGAGTATCTGTAAGTGTTTCTTTTGTGTATATAATATTCATAATTTTGTATAATGTAGATATAGCTCAGGGTTATTTATACACAACTTTGATATTCTACTTTTGTTTTTCTGTACACATATTTACTCGAAATAAACAAACTTTGATTGATTGATTGATTGATTGATATATATATATATATATAACCCTAACCCCTAACCCTATACATACACATAATATAATATATGTATATGTGTCCTAAATCTTGCATTACCCCGTTAAATCCCCCTGTCCCGCTCTGTCCTTCTGCTTCTGTTGTTTTTGACAGATCAGCTGCTCGCTCGCACCACGTGACCTCATTGTTGACATTCTACACGGCCTCCACGCGGCTTCCTCTCCTGCTCTCTGATTGGCCCGTGCGTCTCCCAGTCCCTTCCCCTACACGGAAGCGCTCGCAACCCCGCCGAAAAGCTTCAGACTTCCCGCAGATGCGTTCCCGCGTGTCTGAGCCTCTGCAGCATCACCTGCAGCCTGCATCCCCCCAGCTGAGCCTGAAACGGAGGAAAAACGGGACAAATCGGTACATTTTGGAGCTCAAAAGGATTTGTTGTGTGAGACCGGGAGTGCGCATGCGCAGAGAGGCGGCTGCAGACGCGGGTTGATTTAAGGATTGGCGCCACAGCTGATCATCCATTCATTCATTCACCCGCTCAGACTCGGTAAGTCCTCTGCTGTAAGTCCTCTGCTGTAAGTCCTCTGCTGTAAGTCCTCTGCTGTAAGTCCTCTGCTGAAGTCCTCTGCTGTAAGTCCTCTGCTGTAAGTCCTCTGCTGTAAGTCCTCTGCTGTAAGTCCTCTGCTGTAAGTCCTCTGCTGTAAGTCCTCTGCTGTAAGTCCTCTGCTGTAAGTCCTCTGCTGTAAGTCCTCTGCTGTAAGTCCTCTGCTGTAAGTCCTCTGCTGTAAGTCCTCTGCTGTAAGTCCTCTGCTGTAAGTCCTCTGCTGTAAGTCCTCTGCTGTAAGTCCTCTGCTGTAAGTCCTCTGCTGTAAGTCCTCTGCTGTAAGTCCTCTGCTGTAAGTCCTCTGCTGTAAGTCCTCTGCTGTAAGTCCTCTGCTGTAAGTCCTCTGCTGTAAGTCCTCTGCTGTAAGTCCTCTGCTGTAAGTCCTCTGCTGTAAGTCCTCTGCTGTAAGTCCTCTGCTGTAAGTCCTCTGCTGTAAGTCCTCTGCTGTAAGTCCTCTGCTGTAAGTCCTCTGCTGTAAGTCCTCTGCTGTAAGTCCTCTGCTGTAAGTCCTCTGCTGTAAGTCCTCTGCTGTAAGTCCTCTGCTGTAAGTCCTCTGCTGTAAGTCCTCTGCTGTAAGTCCTCTGCTGTAAGTCCTCTGCTGTAAGTCCTCTGCTGTAAGTCCTCTGCTGTAAGTCCTCTGCTGTAAGTCCTCTGCTGTAAGTCCTCTGCTGTAAGTCCTCTGCTGTAAGTCCTCTGCTGTAAGTCCTCTGCTGTAAGTCCTCTGCTGTAAGTCCTCTGCTGTAAGTCCTCTGCTGTAAGTCCTCTGCTGTAAGTCCTCTGCTGTAAGTCCTCTGCTGTAAGGCTGCTTTGTTTCACTTTATCACACTTTATCACACTTTATCACACTTTATCACACTTGAATCCAGTCTAATGTGTTTCTCACGGACACAGGGCTGTGTCTGTGCAGAGCTCTGAGCTAAAGCTAAACTTGTGTTTCATGATACACTGAGGCTGTGTATCTGTCTGTGTGTGTGTGTGTCTGTGTGTGTGTGTGTGTGTCTGTATGTCTGTCTGTGTGTGTGTGTCTGTATATCTGTCTGTGTGTGTGTGTGTGTGTCTGTGTATCTGTGTGTGTGTCTGTGTGTGTGTGTGTGTGTCTGTGTATCTGTGTGTGTGTCTGTGTATCTGTGTATCTGTGTATGTATCTATCTGCTTTTATCTGTGACTTATGTGTCTCCAATTCTACAGCTTGTATCTATAGTAATAACCCTAAGTCTTTGTGTGTCTATAGTAATAGTCTTTGTGTGTCTATAGTTGTGTGTCTATAGTAATAGTCTTTGTGTGTCTTTGTGTGTCTATAGTTGTGTGTCTTTGTGTGTCTATAGTTGTGTGTCTTTGTGTGTCTATAGTTGACCCAGTTTTAGCGGCTGCTAAGGCAGTAGCTTCTCCGACTTTAGCTTCTCTTTTTGGGGAATTTTTTTATAATTCCCCATTATCTACACTATAATATAAAGTAAGATTACGGGGATAGGGGCAGACCATGGGGCAGACCATGGGGCAGACCATGGGGCAGACCATGGGGCAGACCATGGGGCAGACTGAGGCCGGGTTTGGAGCTCTGTTCCCGGGGTGTGCAGGAGGCTCCTCCCGCTCTGGCGCTTTGTGAATTGGCGCGTCTTTGAGTTTCTTATCTTTTTTATAGTCATTTTAACTACTTTTGAAAAGTTTTATCCACGGAATATCAGACATCAGACCTGTAAGTACGACCTGAGCTTCGGGAAAGTGTCCTTAGTGTGTGACTTTTCATGTATTTTGTTCATAATGACTCGCGCTAAAACGCTCCACTTTTTGGCTCCACTTTCAAACTTAGCTCAAGCTTTAGCCTTTTTTATTTACACCTCGGTAACACTTAATAAAACGAGTATATATCATTTATGAAAGCCCTGTCCCTGCTCTATCACCGTGTTATAACAACATTAACAGTTAGACTTGGTAGAGTCATTTTATTACTCATTTATGTCGACATTGTTTCATGAGGGAAGCACTGGCTCTTTGTGTTATTAATTAAACTTAATGAATGCCAGAATCCATTTTAAATACTATTGTCATAAGTGAGTTTGTTTTATACATGTATCTCAGATGCTGTATTGTTCTTATGTGCCATTTGTTCCAGTTTGGTGTTATTCCCTTCTCAAAATGGCTCCCACCTCAGTCATTACTGTAACTAATATGTGTTAATATGTATTATATACATTTCCTAACCTCTGTTTTGTCTCTTCTTAGCAAAGCAGTAAGTCCAGCTACACCATGTCACGACGCAGGTATGTTTATGTTCATAGGTGAAATACACTAGAATCCTCTGTTTACAACGTCCTGAAGAGGAAAATAATGTTTTTACCAATGTGTATGTATTTTTCATACAGCAGCTTTACAGGCAAATATTGATTTGAATGTTTTTCCAGCGGCCGCTTAACTTTGCAAGCCAGAGATTCCAACACACTGGAGCTCGCAGTGAAGCCGCTGCTCAAAAAGAGACGATCAGAGGTGACTGTTCCTTTTTAACTGTTTTAATCTGAGTGTGATGTACCAGGAGGAGACTGTAGAGGGTAATGTACCAGGAGGAGACTGTAGAGGGTAATGTACCAGGAGGAGACTGTAGAGGGTAATGTACCAGGAGGAGACTGTAGAGGGTAATGTACCAGGAGGAGACTGTAGAGGGTAATGTACCAGGAGGAGACTGTAGAGGGTAATGTACCAGGAGGAGACTGTAGAGGGTAATGTATCAGGAGGAGACTGTAGAGGGTAATGTACCAGGAGGAGACTGTAGAGGGTAATGTACCAGGAGGAGACTGTAGAGGGTAATGTACCAGGAGGAGACTGTAGAGGGTAATGTACCAGGAGGAGACTGTAGAGGGTAATGTACCAGGAGGAGACTGTAGAGGGTAATGTACCAGGAGGAGACTGTAGAGGGTAATGTACCAGGAGGAGACTGTAGAGGGTAATGTATCAGGAGGAGACTGTAGAGGGTAATGTACCAGGAGGAGACTGTAGAGGGTAATGTACCAGGAGGAGACTGTAGAGGGTAATGTACCAGGAGGAGACTGTAGAGGGTAATGTACCAGGAGGAGACTGTAGAGGGTAATGTACCAGGAGGAGACTGTAGAGGGTAATGTACCAGGAGGAGACTGTAGAGGGTAATGTACCAGGAGGAGACTGTAGAGGGTAATGTACCAGGAGGAGACTGTAGAGGGTAATGTACAAGGAGGAGACTGTAGAGGGTATTGTACCAGGAGGAGACTGTAGAGGGTAATGTACCAGGAGGAGACTGTAGAGGGTAATGTACCAGGAGGAGACTGTAGAGGGTAATGTACCAGGAGGAGACTGTAGAGGGTAATGTACCAGGAGGAGACTGTAGAGGGTAATGGACCAGGAGGAGACTGTAGAGGGTAATGTACCAGGAGGAGACTGCAGACAGTAATGTACCAGGAGGAGACTGTAGAGGGTAATGTACCAGGAGGAGACTGTAGAGGGTAATGTACCAGGAGGAGACTGTAGAGGGTAATGTACCAGGAGGAGACTGTAGAGGGTATTGTACCAGGAGGAGACTGTAGAGGGTGATGTACCAGGAGGAGACTGCAGAGGGTAATGTACCAGGAGGAGACTGCAGAGGGTAATGTACCAGGAGGAGACTGTAGAGGGTAATGTATCAGGAGGAGACTGTAGAGGGTAATGTACCAGGAGGAGACTGTAGAGGGTAATGTACCAGGAGGAGACTGTAGAGGGTAATGTACCAGGAGGAGACTGTAGAGGGTAATGTACCAGGAGGAGACTGTAGAGGGTAATGTACCAGGAGGAGACTGTAGAGGGTAATGTACCAGGAGGAGACTGTAGAGGGTAATGTACCAGGAGGAGACTGTAGAGGGTAATGTACCAGGAGATCCTCCACAGAATGAATGAGTGAAGGTACATTATAATGTTTTGGTTCTTTGTCAATAACAATATCTTTCTTTCTTTAAGTCTCTAAAGAAGAACGTGCAACCTGCCGCCAAGAAGCAAAGCTATGAAATCCAGGTCAGTTTAATCTCTATGTACTACACATGTATGTACTACACATGTATGTACTGCACATGTATGTACTACACATGTATGTACTACACATGTATGTACTACACATGTATGTACTACACATGTATGTACTACACATGTATGTACTACACATGTATGTACTACACATGTATGTACTACACATGTATGTACTGCACATGTATGTACTACACATGTATGTACTACACATGTATGTACTACACATGTATGTACTACACATGTATGTACTACACATGTATGTACTACACATGTATGTACTACACATGTATGTACTACACATGTATGTACTGCACATGTATGTACTGCACATGTATGTACTACACATGTATGTACTACACATGTATGTACTACACATGTATGTACTACACATGTATGTACTGTACATGTATGTACTGCACATGTATGTACTGCACATGTATGTACTACACATGTATGTACACCATGTGGTGATGTCACCATGTGATGTCTGACCAGAATTTTGCAATCAACTCTGAAACTTGTGCTGGTCGTACTTAGCTGCAGTACTTTGATCCCACCACCAGAGGCCCTCAGCTCTATGCAGTCTCTGACTCGTTTGTAAGAACTGCTTTTTTAGTTTCTGCCTTTCTGATATTTTATATCCATATATTGTGGATATAAAAATCTATAGCTGCTAATTTGCACATTAACCCATAATTGGTATAATTAACATGTGTTTATTTAACCATTATATATGTTCATGTTTTCTCAGATAATTCTAACCATAGTTGTGTATGTGCCTGTGTGTGTGTGTGTGTGTGTGTGTGTGTGTGCCTATGTGTGTGCCTATGTGTGTATCTGTGTGTGTACAGAAGTGCTGGCGGTCTGACGGCGGGGCCAGTCCCTGTGTTCTCATCGAAACTCCACATAAAGAACTGGAACCAACAGAGTCCAAGAACTTCAGACAGTTCACCTTCAAGAACCTTTTCATTCAGCCGTCACCGCTGCCACAGCTGAGGTACGACCACACATCCTACTGTCTCTGTGTGTGTGTCTCTGTGTGTCTCTGTGTGGGTGTGTGTCTCTGTGTGTGTTAGTATCTGTATGTTAATATGTGTGTGTCTTTGCGTGTGTTAGTGTGTGTCTGTGTCAATCTGTACTAAGGCAGATTCCATGCGTTACAAAGTACATTAACCATTAGAAACACTAATCATAACTTTTTAAGGATTTCTTAGTTTCAGAGTTTCATGTGTTAATCTATGTATATGAGCAGCTTTGTCTCTTGTCTTTGCTTTTCTGCAGTTTCACATAAATTATTCCGCAATTTGCAGCCTGTACTTAGTGCATTAGCATCAGAAAGAGCCGTAAGGGCCCATTCACTTTCATTACGTTTGTTTCTACCATCGTTACTCAACTCTAGTGCTGCGTTCAGACCGGATCAAGCTGCATTATTGGAGAAGATCTGTACACAAGTAGTCGCTAGCTAAACTCTGTTAGCATCAAAGCCCGCCGGCGCGTGCCAGGACTTCTGGTCTAGAGAATGTGTGTCTGGTGAGCGAGGCTTCAGCGTTCCAGCTTTGGCGGTCTGAGAGCAGCATACGTCTGCAGCTCCATGTCTGCAGCTCCATGTCTGCAGCTCCATGTCTGCAGCTCCATGTCTGCAGCTCTGGGACTGCAGCTCCGGGACTGCAGGTCGAGGTCCCAATACTCATGGACAGAATCTTTTCATTTAATGATCAATGAGAGCAACGTGCTGAAACTCACAGTTTATTGTGAAAATAATGTTGCCAAAGGCTTTAAACTTAAAGCAGGGTTCCCCAACCTGCACCCCCCCACCCCCCTTTGACCGTCCCTAGCCCCACTGCCCCCACCGGTTGAACCGGCCGTTCTCAGAGTCTCAGTGTGAACTCATTAACGTCTCAAAGACAGAGTTGGTGATTTTTTGCGTTCCTTGTCCTAAACTTCTTTCCTTTTGAACCCTTTGGTTTCCTATAAATCCATCAATTTGTACGGCCCTGTTTATACTGAGACGCTGCGCAGACGTTTCCAGGCTATTAACAGAAACGACCTGGCTCCTAATGCAAATTTCTCAGCGTTCACATGAGGTTGAAAAACGATGTAGTTCTAGCGCCCGGCCAGTAGGGGGCAGAGATACTTTACAACACTCACACGACCCCCAGCCCCGTGCCCAGCCCCCCTCTCTGCAGTGTACTCACTTCCTGTGCCAGACCCTCAGAGAGTACCAACATCATTCTGCATTTTAACAGCAGCTGTGAACATGGAAACTGAACCTAGAGCTTTGCGTGGTCTCGTTTGGACGAACGAAGGAGTAGAATTATCCTACTGCACATGTCCAAATGTACGTGTGGGAGCAGCAGGAGGTGGGGGTCAGAGCAGCAGGAGGTGGGGGTGTGAAAGAGCCCCCGCTGTGCAGCGTTTCTGAGGCTGGATCTGAACACTTACGTTTTCACCTGGAACAGTCTCCGTGTGAACGGTTGGTAGCAACCGACATCCAACTATAGCGTTTTACTGCCACATTGTCTCCGTGTAAACTCAGCCTACAACAGGCTCTGGAGAACCAGAGCTTGTGCTAAAGCTAATGTGTAGGACGTGAACCAATGAGCACAGGCCACTGTGGGTGTTATGACCCCGCTCAGCTAGGGTAAGGGACGAAACATAAAAACACATGTGTAACGGAGCTTTGGGCCAAGAGCCAACTTTTGGACCATCCTGTAAAGACGTTTTCGAGAGGTATGAAGAGGCTATATGTTAGCATTGGCTAATTCTTATTCCGGGTCCACCCCCACAGGCCCGGGGTGGTACTGCAGCATGTCAGCCCACGTCATTTTGGCCACTTTTGAGCTGGGACCCGCCCACACTAATTAGAGTCTGAGGCCCCTGGGGCAGAGTATGGCCCCAGAGGAGGGTCTGAGGCCCCTGGGGCAGAGTATGGCCCCAGAGGAGGGTCTGAGGCCCCTGGGGCAGAGTATGGCCCCAGAGGAGGCCATAAATAAAGTCCTAAATATGAGAAATTTCTTACATCATAGATCAGTGTCAAGTGTGTGTCTCAGTGTCAAGTGTGTGTCTCAGTGTCGAGTGTGTGTCTCAGTGTCGAGTGTGTGTCTCAGTGTCGAGTGTGTGTCTCAGTGTCGAGTGTGTGTCTCAGTGTCGAGTGTGTGTCTCAGTGTCGAGTGTGTGTCTCAGTGTCGAGTGTGTGTCTCAGTCGTGAGTGTGTGTGCTCAGTGTCGAGTGTGTGTGTCTCAGTGTCGAGTGTGTGTCTCAGTGTCGAGTGTGTGTCTCAGTGTCGAGTGTGTGTCTCAGTGTCGAGTGTGTGTCTCAGTGTCGAGTGTGTGTCTCAGTGTCGAGTGTGTGTCTCAGTGTCGAGTGTGTGTCTCAGTGTCGAGTGTGTGTCTCAGTGTCGAGTGTGTGTCTCAGTGTCGAGTGTGTGTCTCAGTGTCGAGTGTGTGTCTCAGTGTCGAGTGTGTGTCTCTCGAGTGTGTGAGTGTCGAGTGTGTGTCTCAGTGTCGAGTGTGTGTCTCGTGTCGAGTGTGTGTCTCAGTGTCGAGTGTGTGTCTCAGTGTCGAGTGTGTGTCTCAGTGTCGAGTGTGTGTCTCAGTGTCGAGTGTGTGTCTCAGTGTCGAGTGTGTGTCTCAGTGTCGTGTGTGTGTGTCAGTGTCGAGTGTGTGTCTCAGTGTCGAGTGTCTCAGTGTCGAGTGTGTGTTTCATTTGAGTATTGTGTGTGTGTTGCAGCTGGGCCAGTTGTGATGACGTTTGGATCAAAATGTTGAACAAAGAGCTGAAGTACGTTCACGACAAGAGCTACCTCCAGAAACACCCTAAAATACAGCCCAAGATGAGGGCCATCCTGCTGGACTGGCTGCTGGAGGTACTGTAGTACTACTGTACTGTAGTACTGCTGTACTGTTGTACTACTGTACTACTGTACTGCTGGACTACTGTACTGTTGTACTACTACTACTGCTGGACTATTGTACTGCTGTACTACTGTACTGTAGTACTACTGTACTGCTGGACTACTGTACTACTGTACTGTTGTACTACTACTACTGCTGGACTATTGTACTGCTGTACTACTGTACTGTAGTACTACTGGACTACTGTACTACTGTATCAATCAATCAAATTTTATTTATAAAGCGCTTTTCATACAAAAAGTGTAACACAAAGTGCTTTACAGTTTAGTTAAAAACAATCCAACATGCCCAGCCCTAAACCCTCCTCCCCACAGACCCCCCAAAATCACATTTATAATTATATATACAATACACACACCCACACACACACACACACACACACACACACACACACACACACACACACACACACACACACACACACACACACACACACACACACACACACACACACACACACACACACATATACACATATACACACACACACACACACACACACACACACACACATATACACAAGTATAAAGTCATATCAGGTAAAATAGGTAAAACAATAAAAAGAAATGGGGCTGGGAGCAGATGTAACCGTCTGAAGAAGCGTCATCCAAGGAGCCATCTGCACCAGGAGCAGAGAGCCGGCTGCAGCCACAGGCAACGACACAGGACCCAGAGGAGAGAGGGGCCCCAGGCCCCACCAGGCCCAGGACTCAGACCCCATAGGACCCAGAGGAGAGAGGGGCCCCAGACCCCACCAGGCCCAGGGCTCAGACCCCATAGGACCCAGAGGAGAGAGGGGCCCCAGACCCCACCAGGCCCAGGACTCAGACCCCATAGGACCCAGAGGAGAGAGGGGCCCCAGGCCCCACCAGGCCCAGGACTCAGACCCCATAGGACCCAGAGGAGAGAGGGGCCCCAGACCCCACCAGGCCCAGGACTCAGACCCCATAGGACCCAGAGGAGAGAGGGGCCCTAGACCCCACCAGGCCCAGGACTCAGACCCCATAGGACCCAGAGGAGAGAGGAGGCCCCAGACCCCACCAGGCCCAGGACTCAGACCCCATAGGACCCAGAGGAGAGAGGGGCCCTAGACCCCACCAGGCCCAGGACTCAGACCCCATAGGACCCAGAGGAGAGAGGAGGCCCCAGACCCCACCAGGCCCAGGACTCAGACCCCATAGGACCCAGAGGAGAGAGGGGCCCCAGACCCCACCAGGCCCAGGACTCAGACCCCATAGGACCCAGAGGAGAGAGGGGCCCCAGACCCCACCAGGCCCAGGACTCAGACCCCATAGGACCCAGAGGAGAGAGGGGCCCCAGACCCCACCAGGCCCAGGACTCAGACCCCATAGGACCCAGAGGAGAGAGGGGCCCCAGACCCCACCAGGCCCAGGACTCAGACCCCATAGGACCCAGAGGAGAGAGGGGCCCTAGACCCCACCAGGCCCAGGACTCAGACCCCATAGGACCCAGAGGAGAGAGGGGCCCCAGACCCCACCAGGTCCAGGACTCAGACCCCATAGGACCCAGAGGAGAGAGGGGCCCTAGACCCCACCAGGCCCAGGACTCAGACCCCATAGGACCCAGAGGAGAGAGGGGCCCTAGACCCCACCAGGCCCAGGACTCAGACCCCATAGGACCCAGAGGAGAGAGGGGCCCCAGACCCCACCAGGCCCAGGACTCAGACCCCATAGGACCCAGAGGAGAGAGGGGCCCTAGACCCCACCAGGCCCAGGACTCAGACCCCATAGGACCCAGAGGAGAGAGGGGCCCCAGACCCCACCAGGCCCAGGACTCAGACCCCATAGGACCCAGAGGAGAGAGGGGCCCCAGACCCCACCAGGCCCAGGACTCAGACCCCATAGGACCCAGAGGAGAGAGGGGCCCCAGACCCCACCAGGCCCAGGACTCAGACCCCATAGGACCCAGAGGAGAGAGGGGCCCTAGACCCCACCAGGCCCAGGACTCAGACCCCATAGGACCCAGAGGAGAGAGGGGCCCCAGACCCCACCAGGCCCAGGACTCAGACCCCATAGGACCCAGAGGAGAGAGGGGCCCTAGACCCCACCAGGCCCAGGACTCAGACCCCATAGGACCCAGAGGAGAGAGGGGCCCCAGACCCCACCAGGTCCAGGACTCAGACCCCATAGGACCCAGAGGAGAGAGGGGCCCCAGACCCCACCAGGCCCAGGACTCAGACCCCATAGGACCCAGAGGAGAGAGGGGCCCCAGACCCCACCAGGTCCAGGACTCAGACCCCATAGGACCCAGAGGAGAGAGGGGCCCCAGACCCCACCAGGCCCAGGACTCAGACCCCATAGGACCCAGAGGAGAGAGGGGCCCCAGGCCCCACCAGGCCCAGGACTCAGACCCCATAGGACCCAGAGGAGAGAGGGGCCCCAGACCCCACCAGGCCCAGGACTCAGACCCCATAGGACCCAGAGGAGAGAGGGGCCCCAGACCCCACCAGGCCCAGGACTCAGACCCCATAGGACCCAGAGGAGAGAGGGGCCCCAGACCCCACCAGGCCCAGGACTCAGACCCCATAGGACCCAGAGGAGAGAGGGGCCCCAGACCCCACCAGGCCCAGGACTCAGACCCCATAGGACCCAGAGGAGAGAGGCGCCCCAGACCCCACCAGGCCCAGGACTCAGACCCCATAGGACCCAGAGGAGAGAGGGGCCCCAGACCCCACCAGGCCCAGGACTCAGACCCCATAGGACCCAGAGGAGAGAGGGGCCCCAGACCCCACCAGGCCCAGGACTCAGACCCCATAGGACCCAGAGGAGAGAGGGGCCCCAGACCCCACCAGGCCCAGGACTCAGACCCCATAGGACCCAGAGGAGAGAGGGGCCCCAGACCCCACCAGGCCCAGGACTCAGACCCCATAGGACCCAGAGGAGAGAGGGGCCCCAGACCCCACCAGGCCCAGGACTCAGACCCCATAGGACCCAGAGGAGAGAGGGGCCCCAGACCCCACCAGGCCCAGGACTCAGACCCCATAGGACCCAGAGGAGAGAGGGGCCCCAGGCCCCACCAGGCCCAGGACTCAGACCCCATAGGACCCAGAGGAGAGAGGGGCCCCAGACCCCACCAGGCCCAGGACTCAGACCCCATAGGACCCAGAGGAGAGAGGGGCCCTAGACCCCACCAGGCCCAGGACTCAGACCCCATAGGACCCAGAGGAGAGAGGGGCCCTAGACCCCACCAGGCCCAGGGCTCAGACCCCATAGGACCCAGAGGAGAGAGGGGCCCCAGACCCCACCAGGTCCAGGACTCAGACCCCATAGGACCCAGAGGAGAGAGGGGCCCCAGACCCCACCAGGCCCAGGGCTCAGACCCCATAGGACCCAGAGGAGAGAGGGGCCCCAGACCCCACCAGGCCCAGGACTCAGACCCCATAGGACCCAGAGGAGAGAGGGGCCCCAGGCCCCACCAGGCCCAGGACTCAGACCCCATAGGACCCAGAGGAGAGAGGAGGCCCCAGACCCCACCAGGCCCAGGACTCAGACCCCATAGGACCCAGAGGAGAGAGGGGCCCCAGGCCCCACCAGGCCCAGGACTCAGACCCCATAGGACCCAGAGGAGAGAGGGGCCCCAGGCCCCACCAGGCCCAGGACTCAGACCCCATAGGACCCAGAGGAGAGAGGGGCCCCAGACCCCACCAGGCCCAGGACTCAGACCCCATAGGACCCAGGGGAGAGAGGGGCCCCAGACCCCACCAGGCCCAGGACTCAGACCCCATAGGACCCAGAGGAGAGAGGGGCCCCAGACCCCACCAGGCCCAGGACTCAGACCCCATAGGACCCAGAGGAGAGAGGGGCCCCAGGCCCCACCAGGCCCAGGACTCAGACCCCATAGGACCCAGAGGAGAGAGGGGCCCCAGACCCCACCAGGCCCAGGACTCAGACCCCATAGGACCCAGAGGAGAGAGGGGTCCCAGACCCCACCAGGCCCAGGACTCAGACCCCATAGGACCCAGAGGAGAGAGGGGCCCCAGACCCCACCAGGCCCAGGACTCAGACCCCATAGGACCCAGAGGAGAGAGGGGCCCCAGACCCCACCAGGCCCAGGACTCAGACCCCATAGGACCCAGAGGAGAGAGGGGCCCCAGACCCCCACCGGATCCAAGAGCCAGTCCCCCGAAGCCACAGCAGACCCCAGCTCTCAGTGCAGAGGGCTCCTCCAGAGGAAACACTGGGGACACTAAAACAATACAATAATACAATAGAAAGTAGAACAATAGAATGTGAAAATAAAAAGAAAAATGGCAGCTGCCTAATATAATAACAATAGTAAATGGGTAGATACAATAAATAATTAAAAATAGTAAATAATAAAAATAAATAAAAATATAATCCGTCTAAAAACATAAATAGATGTACTAAAAAGCAATAATAGATAATAAATACTAATCAAAAGCTGCTCTAAAAAGGTGCGTCTTGAGCCTACTCTTAAAAATATGAACGTTCTCTGCGGCTGTACTGTACTGCTGGACTACTGTACTACTGTACTGTAGTACTGCTGGACTACTGTACTGCTGGACTACTGTACTGCTGGACTACTGTACTACTGTACTGTTGTACTACTACTACTGCTGGACTATTGTATTGCTGTACTACTGTACTGTAGTACTACTGGACTACTGTACTACTGTACTGTTGTACTACTGTACTGCTGAACTACTGTACTACTGTACTGTAGTACTGCTGGACTACTGTACTGCTGGACTACTGTACTACTGTACTGTTGTACTACTACTACTGCTGGACTATTGTACTGCTGTACTACTGTACTGTAGTACTACTGGACTACTGTACTACTGTACTGTAGTACTGCTGGACTACTGTACTGCTGGACTACTGTACTACTGTACTGTTGTACTACTACTACTGCTGGACTATTGTACTGCTGTACTACTGTACTGTAGTACTACTGTACTGCTGGACTACTGTACTGCTGGACTACTGTACTGTTGTACTACTGTACTGCTGGACTATTGTACTGCTGTACTACTGTACTGTAGTACTACTGTACTGCTGGACTACTGTACTACTGTACTGTTGTACTACTGTACTGTTGTACTACTGTACTGCTGGACTACTGTACTACTGTACTGTAGTACTGCTGGACTACTGTAGTACTGCTGGACTACTGTACTGCTGGACTACTGTACTACTGTACTGTTGTACTACTACTACTGCTGGACTATTGTACTGCTGTACTGTAGTACTACTGTACTAGTACTACCACCACTACTACTACAGTACTACTGCACACCTGTACTAGTACTGCACTACTACTACTACTACTGCAGTACTGTACTACTGTACACCTGTACTACTACTATTGCACTACTACTTTTCTACTGTACTAGAACTACTACTGAACCTGACCCCTGCTCTCTCTCAGTGACCTCTGACCCCTGTCTCCCCCAGGTCAGTGAGGTGTACAGCCTGCACAGACAGACGGCGTACTTGGCTCAGGACTTCTTCGACCGCTTCATGCTCACACAGGACAACATGAACAAAGACTTCCTCCAACTCGTCGGCATCACCGCCCTCTTCATCGCCGCCAAGATTGAGGTTAGATCCCACCTCTGTCACCATGAAGACAGAGGAGACCCCGCCTTTGTCCCCATGTCAACAGAGGAGACTGCTTCGGTCGTCATGGCGACATAGGAGACCCTAAAAAAAATCCGCACAGCTATGTAGCTCCCAATCAGTGTATTTTATTAACATACCACGCTGTAACGTTTCGGGCTGAGGCCCTTCGTCAGACATAGACCCTGCCTTTGTCGTCATGGCGACTGAAGGACACTACCTTAAAGCTTCGAAAAAGTACACAACAGGCTTCATGGTTAGCATACATGTAAGGACAAGCCCTGTGAGTCACTATTTGACCCTTTGGGCTGAGAGCTGATGGGATCAAAGATGGGTTTGAATGAGTTAGAGCAGTGTTAGCTTTAGTCAGAGCTAAGATGAAGAGCTAATGCCATCTATGGGTTAGGGTTAGTAACTACAGTTCTGTCTCTGCAGGAGATCTACCCTCCCAAGATCTTCGAGTTTGCGTATGTGACCGACGGAGCCTGCGACATCTGGGACATCCAGAAGACCGAGCTGCTCATCCTCAAGGTGCGATCTTCTCAGGACTGTTCCATCAGTCATCTGTAAAACATCGGTCCTGTATGAAGACAGAGAATCACGTAATCATTTTCTAAAACCGTCTGGAGAGTAGAATTTTGAAAGGATTTTTAGAGCTAGCATTAAACTTTCCAAGAAGCAAAAACATTTGAACTTTGAATATTATCCACTTCTTAATCTTCTTGATCATCAAGACGGGAGAAGACGTGTTCAGTTGGCAGTGTTTGTGGTTGATGGTATGTCTCTGGTGGTAGTGTCTGTGGTTGGTATGTCTCTGGTGGTAGTGTGTGTGGTTGATGGTATGTCTCTGGTGGTAGTGTGTGTGGTTGATGGTATGTATCTGGTGGTAGTGTGTGCGGTTGATGGTATGTCTGATGGTAGTGTGTGTGGTTGATGGTATGTCTCTGGTGGTAGTGTGTGTGGTTGATGGTATGTCTCTGGTGGTAGTGTGTGTGGTTGATGGTATGTCTGGTGGTAGTGTCTGTGGTTGATGGTATGTCTCTGGTGGTAGTGTGTGTGGTTGATGGTATGTCTCTGGTGGTAGTGTCTGTGGTTGATGGTATGTATCTGGTGGTAGTGTGTGTGGTTGATGGTATGTCTCTGGTGGTAGTGTGTGTGGTTGATGGTATGTCTCTGGTGGTAGTGTGTGTGGTTGATGGTATGTCTCTGGTGGTAGTGTGTGTGGTTGATGGTATGTCTCTGGTGGTAGTGTCTGTGGTTGATGGTATGTCTGTGGTTGATGGTATGTCTGGTGGTAGTGTGTGTGGTTGATGGTATTTTCTGGTGGTAGTGTGTGTGGTTGGCAGCTGTGCCCTGAGACCCCGATGGTCCCTTGTTGATGGTAGTGTTGATGGTATTTTCTGGTTGCAGGCTTTGGACTGGCAGCTGTGCCCTGAGACCCCGATGGTCCCTTGTTGATGGTAGTGTTGATGGTATTTTCTGGTTGCAGGCTTTGGACTGGCAGCTGTGCCCTGAGACCCCGATGGTCCCTTGTTGATGGTAGTGTTGATGGTATTTTCTGGTTGCAGGCTTTGGACTGGCAGCTGTGCCCTGAGACCCCGATGGTCCCTTGTTGATGGTAGTGTTGATGGTATTTTCTGGTTGCAGGCTTTGGACTGGCAGCTGTGCCCTGAGACCCCGATCTCGTGGCTGAAGCTGTACTGTCAGCTGGAGGCGCAGAGTGACGGACACAACTTCCTGGTGCCACAGTTTTCACAGGAGACATACATCCAGATCACACAGGTATCTGCTGCTAGCTAATGTGTGTAGCTGCTGTTAGCTAATGTGTGTAGCTGCTGCTAGCTAATGTGTGTATCTGCTGTTAGCTAATGTGTGTAGCTGCTGCTAGCTAATGTGTGTATCTGCTGTTAGCTAACATGTGTAGCTGCTACTAGCTAACATGTGGGAGCTAATGGACAGACAGTCTTCTCTACAGCTGTGTGCTCTGTATAACATTTGATTCCAGTTTCAAACACTAGATGGCAGTATATATCATCCATCTCCACATGTTTATCCAAATAGTTTGAATTCTGGAACTTGAAATTAATTAATTATCTGAAGGTTAAAAGCAACACATGGAAGACGAAGAGAGATGGTCATCAGGATCAGCAGAAACACTGCACCTGTGCTTGTACCTGTAGTAACTCCTTTCTCCTCCCCAGCTCCTGTACCTGTAGTAACTCTTTTCTCCTCCCCAGCTCCTGTACCTGTAGTAACTCCTTTCTCCTCCCCAGCTCCTGTACCTGTAGTAACTCCTTTCTCCTCCCCAGCTCCTGTACCTGTAGTAACTCCTTTCTCCTCCCCAGCTCCTGTACCTGTAGTAACTCCTTTCTCCTCCCCAGCTCCTGTACCTGTAGTAACTCCTTTCTCCTCCCCAGCTCCTGTACCTGTAGTAACTCCTTTCTCCTCCCCAGCTCCTGTACCTGTAGTAACTCCTTTCTCCTCCCCAGCTCCTGTACCTGTAGTAACTCCTTTCTCCTCCCCAGCTCCTGTACCTGTAGTAACTCCTTTCTCCTCCCCAGCTCCTGTACCTGTAGTAACTCCTTTCTCCTCCCCAGCTCATGTACCTGTAGTAACTCCTTTCTCCTCCCCAGCTCCTGTACCTGTAGTAACTCCTTTCTCCTCCCCAGCTCATGTACCTGTAGTAACTCCTTTCTCCTCCCCAGCTCCTGTACCTGTAGTAACTCCTTTCTCCTCCCCAGCTCATGTACCTGTAGTAACTCCTTTCTCCTCCCCAGCTCCTGTACCTGTAGTAACTCTTTTCTCCTCCCCAGCTCCTGTACCTGTAGTAACTCTTTTCTCCTCCCCAGCTCCTGGACCTGTGCTTGTACCTGTAGTAACTCCTTTCTCCTCCCCAGCTCCTGTACCTGTAGTAACTCCTTTCTCCTCCCCAGCTCCTGTACCTGTAGTAACTCCTTTCTCCTCCCCAGCTCATGTACCTGTAGTAACTCTTTTCTCCTCCCCAGCTCCTGTACCTGTAGTAACTCTTTTCTCCTCCCCAGCTCCTGGACCTGTGCTTGTACCTGTAGTAACTCTTTTCTCCTCCCCAGCTCCTGTACCTGTAGTAACTCCTTTCTCCTCCCCAGCTCCTGTACCTGTAGTAACTCCTTTCTCCTCCCCAGCTCCTGTACCTGTAGTAACTCTTTTCTCCTCCCCAGCTCCTGGACCTGTGCTTGTACCTGTAGTAACTCTTTTCTCCTCCCCAGCTCATGTACCTGTAGTAACTCTTTTCTCCTCCCCAGCTCCTGGACCTGTGCCTGATGGACATCTCAGCCCTGGACTTCTCGTACTCGGTGCTGGCGGCTGCAGCCTTCTGTCACTTCTCCTCCTGTCACATGGTCCACACAGTCTCTGGTCAGTCACATGGTCCACACAGTCTCTGGTCAGTCACATGGTCCACACAGTCTCTGGTCAGTCACATGGTCCACACAGTCTCTGGTCAGTCACATGGTCCACACAGTCTCTGGTCAGTCACATGGTCCACACAGTCTCTGGTCAGTCACATGGTCCACACAGTCTCTGGTCAGTCACATGGTCCACAGAGTCTCTGGTCAGTCACATGGTCCACACAGTCTCTGGTCAGTCACATGGTCCACAGAGTCTCTGGTCAGTCACATGGTCCACACAGTCTCTGGTCAGTCACATGGTCCACACAGTCTCTGGTCAGTCACATGGTCCACACAGTCTCTGGTCAGTCACATGGTCCACACAGTCTCTGGTCAGTCACATGGTCCACACAGTCTCTGGTCAGTCACATGGTCCACACAGTCTCTGGTCAGTCACATGGTCCACACAGTCTCTGGTCAGTCACATGGTCCACACAGTCTCTGGTCAGTCACATGGTCCACACAGTCTCTGGTCAGTCACATGGTCCACACAGTCTCTGGTCAGTCACATGGTCCACAGAGTCTCTGGTCAGTCACATGGTCCACACAGTCTCTGGTCAGTCACATGGTCCACACAGTCTCTGGTCAGTCACATGGTCCACACAGTCTCTGGTCAGTCACATGGTCCACAGAGTCTGTGCACACTTCACTGAATTGATGTTACATAAAACTACAATACACATACTGTATATTTATTTATATATCACATCAGCGGCTCCATAGAGGTCCTAACTGTACCTGTGCTCCTAACTGTACCTGTGATCCTCAGGTCTGTCCTGGGACATGGTGTCTCCCTGTGTTCGCTGGATGACTCCGTTCATGGAGACGTTACGTTCAGAGCCTTGTCCTCAACTCAAGACCTTTCCCAAAGTGAAGCAGGACGACAGACACGACATCCAGACACACGTGTCCTACCTGGACCTACTGGTGAGTCAGTGTCCTACCTGGACCTACTGGTGAGTCAGTGTCCTACCTGGACCTACTGGTGAGTCAGTGTCCTACCTGAACCTACTGGTGAGTCAGTGTCCTACTGGTGAGTCCGTGTCTTACCTGGACCTACTGGTGAGTCAGTGTCCTACCTGGACCTACTGGTGAGTCAGTGTCCTACCTGAACCTACTGGTGAGTCAGTGTCTTACCTGGACCTACTGGTGAGTCAGTGTCCTACCTGGACCTACTGGTGAGTCAGTGTCCTACTGGTGAGTCAGTGTCCTACCTGGACCTACTGGTGAGTCAGTGTCCTACTGGTGAGTCCGTGTCTTACCTGGACCTACTGGTGAGTCAGTGTCCTACCTGGACCTACTGGTGAGTCAGTGTCCTACCTGGACCTACTGGTGAGTCAGTGTCCTACCTGAACCTACTGGTGAGTCAGTGTCCTACCTGAACCTACTGGTGAGTCAGTGTCCTACTGGTGAGTCCGTGTCTTACCTGGACCTACTGGTGAGTCAGTGTCCTACCTGGACCTACTGGTGAGTCAGTGTCTTACCTGGACCTACTGGTGAGTCAGTGTCCTACCTGGACCTACTGGTGAGTCAGTGTCCTACCTGGACCTACTGGTGAGTCAGTGTCTTACCTGGACCTACTGGTGAGTCAGTGTCCTACCTGGACCTACTGGTGAGTCAGTGTCCTACCTGGACCTACTGGTGAGTCAGTGTCCTACCTGGACCTACTGGTGAGTCAGTGTCCTACCTGGACCTACTGATGAGTCAGTGTCCTACCTGGACCTACTGGTGAGTCAGTGTCCTACCTGGACCTACTGGTGAGTCAGTGTCCTACCTGGACCTACTGGTGAGTCAGTGTCCTACTGGTGAGTCCGTGTCTTACCTGGACCTACTGGTGAGTCAGTGTCTTACCTGGACCTACTGGTGAGTCAGTGTCCTACCTGAACCTACTGGTGAGTCAGTGTCCTACTGGTGAGTCCGTGTCTTACCTAGACCTACTGGTGAGTCAGTGTCCTACCTGGACCTACTGGTGAGTCAGTGTCCTACCTGGACCTACTGGTGAGTCAGTGTCCTACCTGAACCTACTGGTGAGTCAGTGTCCTACCTGAACCTACTGGTGAGTCAGTGTCCTACTGGTGAGTCCGTGTCTTACCTGGACCTACTGGTGAGTCAGTGTCCTACCTGGACCTACTGGTGAGTCAGTGTCTTACCTGGACCTACTGGTGAGTCAGTGTCCTACCTGGACCTACTGGTGAGTCAGTGTCCTACCTGGACCTACTGGTGAGTCAGTGTCTTACCTGGACCTACTGGTGAGTCAGTGTCCTACCTGGACCTACTGGTGAGTCAGTGTCCTACCTGGACCTACTGGTGAGTCAGTGTCCTACCTGGACCTACTGGTGAGTCAGTGTCCTACCTGGACCTACTGATGAGTCAGTGTCCTACCTGGACCTACTGGTGAGTCAGTGTCCTACCTGGACCTACTGGTGAGTCAGTGTCCTACCTGGACCTACTGGTGAGTCAGTGTCCTACTGGTGAGTCCGTGTCTTACCTGGACCTACTGGTGAGTCAGTGTCTTACCTGGACCTACTGGTGAGTCAGTTTCCTACCTGGACCTACTGGTGAGTCAGTGTCCTACCTGGACCTACTGGTGAGTCAGTGTCTTACCTGGACCTACTGGTGAGTCAGTGTCCTACCTGGACCTACTGGTGAGTCAGTGTCCTACCTGAACCTACTGGTGAGTCAGTGTCCTACCTGAACCTACTGGTGAGTCAGTGTCCTACTGGTGAGTCCGTGTCTTACCTGGACCTACTGGTGAGTCAGTGTCCTACCTGGACCTACTGGTGAGTCAGTGTCTTACCTGGACCTACTGGTGAGTCAGTGTCCTACCTGGACCTACTGGTGAGTCAGTGTCCTACCTGGACCTACTGGTGAGTCAGTGTCTTACCTGGACCTACTGGTGAGTCAGTGTCCTACCTGGACCTACTGGTGAGTCAGTGTCCTACCTGGACCTACTGGTGAGTCAGTGTCCTACCTGGACCTACTGGTGAGTCAGTGTCCTACCTGGACCTACTGATGAGTCAGTGTCCTACCTGGACCTACTGGTGAGTCAGTGTCCTACCTGGACCTACTGGTGAGTCAGTGTCCTACCTGGACCTACTGGTGAGTCAGTGTCCTACTGGTGGTGAGTCCGTGTCTTACCTGGACCTACTGGTGAGTCAGTGTCTACCTGGACCTACTGGTGAGTCAGTGTCCTACCTGAACCTACTGGTGAGTCAGTGTCCTACTGGTGAGTCCGTGTCTTACCTAGACCTACTGGTGAGTCAGTGTCCTACCTAGACCTACTGGTGAGTCAGTGTCCTACCTGGACCTACTGGTGAGTCAGTGTCCTACCTGGACCTACTGGTGAGTCAGTGTCCTACCTGGACCTACTGGTGAGTCAGTGTCCTACCTGGACCTACTGGTGAGTCAGTGTCCTACTGGTGGTCGTCTTCGACTACTGGTGAGTCAGTGTCCTACCTGGACCTACTGGTGAGTCAGTGTCCTACCTGGACCTACTGGTGAGTCAGTGTCCTACCTGGACCTACTGGTGAGTCAGTGTCCTACCTGGACCTACTGGTGAGTCAGTGTCCTACCTGGACCTACTGGTGAGTCAGTGTCCTACCTGGACCTACTGGTGAGTCAGTGTCCTACCTGGACCTACTGGTGAGTCAGTGTCCTACCTGGACCTACTGGTGAGTCAGTGTCCTACCTGGACCTACTGGTGAGTCAGTGTCCTACCTGGACCTACTGGTGAGTCAGTGTCCTACCTGGACCTACTGGTGAGTCAGTGTCCTACCTGGACCTACTGGTGAGTCAGTGTCCTACCTGGGTGAGCGTGTGTCTACCTGGACCTACTGGTGAGTCAGTGTCTCTACCTGGACCTACTGGTGAGTCAGTGTCCTACCTGGACCTACTGGTGAGTCAGTGTCCTACCTGGACCTACTGGTGAGTCAGTGTCCTACTCTGGACCTACTGGTGAGTCAGTGTCCTACCTGGACCTACTGGTGAGTCAGTGTCCTACCTGGACCTACTGGTGAGTCAGTGTCCTACCTGGACCTACTGGTGAGTCAGTGTCCTACCTGGACCTACTGGTGAGTCAGTGTCCTACCTGGACCTACTGGTGAGTCAGTGTCCTACCTGGACCTACTGGTGAGTCAGTGTCCTACCTGGACCTACTGGTGAGTCAGTGTCCTACCTGGACCTACTGGTGAGTCAGTGTCCTACCTGGACCTACTGGTGAGTCAGTGTCCTACCTGGACCTACTGGTGAGTCAGTGTCCTACCTGGACCTACTGGTGAGTCAGTGTCCTACCTGGACCTACTGGTGAGTCAGTGTCCTACTGGTGAGTCAGTGTCCTACCTGGACCTACTGGTGAGTCAGTGTCTTACCTGGACCTACTGGTGAGTCAGTGTCTTACCTGGACCTACTGGTGAGTCAGTGTCCTACCTGGACCTACTGGTGAGTCAGTGTCCTACCTGGACCTACTGGTGAGTCATGTGTCCTACTGGTGAGTCAGTGTCCTACCTGGACCTACTGGTGAGTCAGTGTCCTACCTGGACCTACTGGTGAGTCATGTGTCCTACTGGTGAGTCAGTGTCCTACCTGGACCTACTGGTGAGTCAGTGTCCTACCTGGACCTACTGGTGAGTCATGTGTCCTACTGGTGAGTCAGTGTCCTACCTGGACCTACTGGTGAGTCAGTGTCCTACCTGGACCTACTGGTGAGTCAGTGTCCTACTGGTGAGTCAGTGTCTTACCTGGACCTACTGGTGAGTCAGTGTCCTACCTGGACCTACTGGTGAGTCATGTGTCCTACTGGTGAGTCAGTGTCCTACCTGGACCTACTGGTGAGTCAGTGTCCTACCTGGACCTACTGGTGAGTCAGTGTCCTACTGGTGAGTCCGTGTCTTACCTGGACCTACTGGTGAGTCAGTGTCTTACCTGGACCTACTGGTGAGTCAGTTTCCTACCTGGACCTACTGGTGAGTCAGTGTCCTACCTGGACCTACTGGTGAGTCAGTGTCTTACCTGGACCTACTGGTGAGTCAGTGTCCTACCTGGACCTACTGGTGAGTCAGTGTCCTACCTGGACCTACTGGTGAGTCATGTGTCCTACTGGTGAGTCAGTGTCCTACCTGGACCTACTGGTGAGTCAGTGTCCTACCTGGACCTACTGGTGAGTCATGTGTCCTACTGGTGAGTCAGTGTTCTACCTGGACCTACTGGTGAGTCAGTGTCCTACCTGGACCTACTGGTGAGTCAGTGTCCTACTGGTGAGTCCGTGTCCTACCTGGACCTACTGGTGAGTCAGTGTCTTACCTGGACCTACTGGTGAGTCATGTGTCCTACTGGTGAGTCAGTGTCCTACCTGGACCTACTGGTGAGTCAGTGTCCTACCTGGACCTACTGGTGAGTCATGTGTCCTACTGGTGAGTCAGTGTCTTACCTGGACCTACTGGTGAGTCAGTGTCTTACCTGGACCTACTGGTGAGTCAGTGTCCTACCTGGACCTACTGGTGAGTCAGTGTCCTACCTGGACCTACTGGTGAGTCAGTGTCCTACCTGGACCTACTGGTGAGTCAGTGTCCTACCTGGACCTACTGGTGAGTCAGTGTCCTACCTGGACCTACTGGTGAGTCAGTGTCCTACCTGGACCTACTGGTGAGTCAGTGTCCTACTGGTGAGTCAGTGTCCTACCTGGACCTACTGATGAGTCATGTGTCCTACTGGTGAGTCAGTGTCCTACCTGGACCTACTGGTGAGTCAGTGTCCTACCTGGACCTACTGGTGAGTCAGTGTCCTACCTGGACCTACTGGTGAGTCAGTGTCCTACCTGGACCTACTGGTGAGTCAGTGTCTTACCTGGACCTACTGGTGAGTCAGTGTCTTACCTGGACCTACTGGTGAGTCAGTTTCCTACCTGGACCTACTGGTGAGTCAGTGTCTTACCTGGACCTACTGGTGAGTCAGTGTCTTACCTGGACCTACTGGTGAGTCAGTGTCCTACCTGGACCTACTGGTGAGTCAGTGTCCTACCTGGACCTACTGGTGAGTCATGTGTCCTACTGGTGAGTCAGTGTCCTACCTGGACCTACTGGTGAGTCAGTGTCCTACCTGGACCTACTGGTGAGTCATGTGTCCTACTGGTGAGTCAGTGTTCTACCTGGACCTACTGGTGAGTCAGTGTCCTACCTGGACCTACTGGTGAGTCAGTGTCCTACTGGTGAGTCCGTGTCTTACCTGGACCTACTGGTGAGTCAGTGTCTTACCTGGACCTACTGGTGAGTCATGTGTCCTACTGGTGAGTCAGTGTCCTACCTGGACCTACTGGTGAGTCAGTGTCCTACCTGGACCTACTGGTGAGTCAGTGTCCTACTGGTGAGTCCGTGTCTTACCTGGACCTACTGGTGAGTCAGTGTCTTACCTGGACCTACTGGTGAGTCAGTGTCCTACCTAGACCTACTGGTGAGTCAGTGTCTTACCTGGACCTACTGGTGAGTCAGTGTCCTACCTAGACCTACTGGTGAGTCAGTGTCCTACCTGACTGGACCTACTGGTGAGTCAGTGTCCTACCTGGACCTACTGGTGAGTCAGTGTCCTACCTGGACCTACTGGTGAGTCAGTGTCCTACCTGTCCTACTGGTGAGTCAGTGTCTACTGGACCTACTGGTGAGTCAGTGTCCTACCTGGACCTACTGGTGAGTCAGTGTCTTACCTGGACCTACTGGTGAGTCAGTGTCTTACCTGGACCTACTGGTGAGTCAGTGTATCCTATGGTGAGTCAGTGTCCTACCTGGACCTACTGGTGAGTCAGTGTCCTACCTGGACCTAACTGGTGAGTCAGTCATGTGTCCTACTGGTACTGGTGAGTCAGTGTCTTACCTGGACCTACTGGTGAGTCAGTGTCCTACCTGGACCTACTGGTGAGTCCGTGTCTTACCTGGACCTACTGGTGAGTCAGTGTCTTACCTGGACCTACTGGTGAGTCAGTGTCTTACCTGGACCTACTGGTGAGTCAGTGTCCTACCTGAACCTACTGGTGAGTCAGTGTCCTACCTGGACCTACTGGTGAGTCAGTGTCTTACCTGGACCTACTGGTGAGTCAGTGTCCTACCTGAACCTACTGGTGAGTCATGTGTCCTACTGGTGAGTCAGTGTCCTACCTGAACCTACTGATGAGTCATGTGTCCTACTGGTGAGTCAGTGTCCTACCTGGACCTACTGGTGAGTCATGTGTCCTACCTGGGTCTGTTTCAGAGAAAAGTCCAAGAGAAACAGAGCGACCAGTTGGATAGCTGCCTCTCCCCGCCCCCCCTGAGCGCCGCTACGCTAACACCGCCAAACAGCACAGAGAAGGCAGCCAATCATTGAGCAGCCACAGCAGCAGCCGGCCAATCACTGAGCACCAATGGCCACGCTGAGGCGACTCTTGACCAAAGGATCAGAGCAGGAAATAATCTGTGTGAAATGCAGTGTGTTTGTTACCATAGCAACTATCACAATGTTACCGTAGCAACTATCACACTGTTGCCATAGCAACTATCACACTGTTGCCATAGCAACTATCACACTGTTACCGTAGCAACTATCACACTGTTGCCGTGGTAGCTGTCCATTGGAGAAAAGTGACTAAAAAATAACGGCATTGTTTTAAACACGTCCAAAGGGCTTTATTTTTAATGTTTAAAATGCTATTATTTTTATTCTTCTGGATAAAGAAAAAAACTCATTACACACACAAGTCTGATGGTGTTAGACTCACCTACAGCGTTATAAACAATACAGTAATATTTTAATTTATCAGAGAAACTGGTACGTGGCCTACGTTTGGGAACCCCAGCAAAGGCCTCGGTAAAAATGTGAAGCTGAATCCCTCAGATGAAATAGAATTGTTTATGAATTTGCGTTTGGAGCCGTAGAAAAAGTGGATCCTGAGAAACTTGATTTGTGTAGAAATATCTACAAATGTGTTTGTGTAGAAATATCTACAAATGTGTTGTGGTATTTATTGTGTTCATAAATGTACAATAGCAAAGTTTATTGAAGGCTTTTGTCCTCGTGCCTTTTCCTCAGAACCATGTAAACTTTAATCTGTAATTTTGTACAAACCACTGAAGTATTTTCTTTTATAACTTTTAATAAAACTACTTGAAACCAGCAGCACAGTCTTTGAATGTCTTTGGACTTGACATATATAATATATTTATTTACATGATGGTGTTCAAAGCCTTGGCCCCTAACTTTATATGATCATACTTTTGTTCCAACATCTAACAACCTCTAAAGGGCTATAAACCACATCAGATCTGTTGTGTGGAGTCCCTCAAGGCTCACCTTGGGCCCTGTGTTATTTTTGATGTACAGTATGTGCTCCCTTTGGAAAAGATTATTCAAAGTTGTGATGTTTCTTATCATACTGTATGTTTGCAGATGACATCCAGATTTATTACACTTTTAAGCCAACTGAGCTCCATAGGCTCGACTCCTTAGTTCGTTGCCAAGTGGAAATGAAGCAGTGGCTAATTGAGGACACTGCTGGATGGATGGATGGTGTCACAGAACAACTTGGAGCTTATAATTCATGCCTTTGTGTCTTCTCGATTAGATTATTGTAACTGTTTGTTTTCATGTCTGAACAAGAAGGAGCTGTCCTGTCTGCAGTTAGTGCAAAACTCTGCAGCTCGGGTTCTCACGCACAAACAGGAGCAGCACATCACCCCGGTCCTCAAAGCTCTCCACAGGCTGCCGGTGTCCTACAGGATACAGTGCCTTGCGGAAGTATTCGGCCCCCTTGAACCTTTCAACATTTCGCCACATTTCAGGCTTCAAACATAAAGATATAAAATTTTAATTTTTTGTCATGAATCAACAACAAGTGGGACAAAATCGTGAAGTGGAACGAAATTTATTGGATAATTTAAACTTTTTTAACAAATAAAAAACTGAAAAGTGGGGCGTGCAATATTATTCGGCCCCTTTACTTTCAGTGCAGCAAACTCAGTCCAGAAGTTCAGTGAGGATCTTTGAATGATCCAATGTTGTCCTAAATGACTGATGATGATAAATAGAATGCTCCTGTGTGTAATCAAGTCTCCGTATAAATGCACCTGCTCTTTGATAGTCTCAGGGTTCTGTTTAAAGCACAGAGAGAACCATGAAGACAAAGGAACACACCAGGCAGGTCCGAGATACTGTTGTGGAGAAGTTTAAAGCCGGATTTGGATACAAAAAGATTTCCCAAGCTTTAAACATCTCAAGGAGCACTGTGCAAGCAATTATATTGAAATGGAAGGAGTATCAGACCACTGCAAATCTACCAAGACCCGGCCGTCCCTCCAAACTTTCATCTCAAACAAGGAGAAGACTGATCAGAGATGCAGCCAAGAGGCCCATGAACGCTCTGGATGAACTGCAGAGAACATTCATATTTTTAAAAGCAGGCTGAAGACACACCTTTTTAGATTAGCTTTTGATTAGTATTTATTATTCCATTTTATATATTCTATTTATCTTTTAGACACATTTTATTTTAGCTTTATTATTTATTATCGTTATTGCTATTATTCATGTATTGTGTGATAGTTCCTTTTAGTATGTTACTTTAAGTGTTTTTTTTTTGTATACCCAGTGTTTCCTCTGGAGGAGCCCTCTGCACTGGGAGCTGAGGTCTGCTGTGGCCTCGGCTTCGTTTCTCCTCTGGGTCCTGAGGTCTGGCTCTTGGATATGGCGGGGGCCTGGGCTTCGTTTCTCCTCTGGGTCCTGGAGTCTGGCTCTTGGATCTGGTGGGACCCTGGGGCCTGGGCGTCGTGTCTCCTCTGGGTCCTGTGTCGTCCCCTGTGGCTACAGGCGGCTCTCTGCTCCTGGTGCAGACGCTCCTTGGATGACGCATTTTCAGCTGGTTGCATCTGAACCCTGCCAAGTCTCTCTTTTCATGGTTTTACTGGTGTGTGTGTTTGTGCGTGTGTGTAAGCGTGTATGAGAGAATGTGTGAGTGTGTGTGTGGGCGTGTGCAAGAGCGTGTGTGAGTTCTTAATATATGGGTCTGTTGGGAGGGGGATCATGGGCGACATTGTTTTTACCCAATATGTAAAGCACTCGAGGTCCAGATCAAGACAAGAACAAAATAAAATAAACAGACAATAAAAACCTCTAAAATTTCAAGAGGCAGTCATACCAGTGTTTCCAAAGCAGTGATGTGTAACGTACCTCGCTGCACACAACACTGGACAATAAAATAATCACATCATTTTTAGAATCATTCAGGCGACATATAAACTTAAACATCAAATTTCTCAGGACAGCTTGCAAAGTGTTTACTCTATTTGACACAAAGAGTTCACTGGCTCTTGTCCATCTGGGCTTTTTTAATAAAATTCTCAACGCATCGTTGTGAGAAACTGTAAGTTTATGGAAGCTGGACTTTCTGTAAATGACCCACAGATGAGCTGTGTACAGAGGTCAGCAGTAAGCTCGAAACAGAGCTACTTTCACCTGAACAGAGCAGGAGGAGAATTTCCGAGACAGAGTGTTTGCTTGTGCATTTAACATCCGGCACTGACGGTACATGTCCTCGTCATCGGTCAAACGGTCAGTTATGATGTGCCCGAGGTACTTTACAACATCACACACAGTTAAGAAGTTCCCTGAGAGCCTAAAGTCAGGAAACCTCAGTGATCTGTCATCTTTAGTCCGGCAGATCCTGATTAGACTCTTACTGGAGTTGTATTTCACATCCTGAAGTTCCCCAAACACAGAGCAAACATTTAACAACTGCTGGAGACCAGCTGAGCTCGGGCTAAACACCACCAGGTCGTCCGCATACATTAAGTGATTAATTAAAGCACCACCAACCATGCAGCCAGTTTTGCACAGTTTTCAGCTGTCTGGACAGGTCCAACATATAGAAATTAAAGAGCACAGGGGACAACAGACTTCCCTGGCTCACACCATTGCATGTCTAAAATGGTTCTGAAACACATTTGTCCCATTTGACCTGCATAGTCTGATGAGCATAAGATATTTTGGCACAGCTGCTTGACTCAATTTCCTAAATAATTTTCTGTGATTCACATGATCAAAAGCCTTAGAGGCATCTAAAAAACATGTAAAAACAGAGGAATTTTTACTTCTGTAGTTACATAATACTTCTTTCAGTGAAAACATGCACATATCAGTTCCATGATTTGCTTTAAAACGCAATTGATTGTCTGTATCAGTGATAAATTTAACAAGTCTGCTCAAAAAAATATATTCTACCACTTTAGACAGAAAATTGGCCAGGGCAATGGGTCTATAATTATCTGAGCTGCCCACTTTTCCTGCTTTGTCCTTTATTACAGGCACTAGGAGTACTGTCATCATGGGGTCAGGAATGAACCCATGCACAACAAAGGCATTAAACACATGGCCAGGAGAGGAGCCAGCCTCACACTGGCATGCTTCAGATGTTCAGCTGAAATCTGGTCTACTCCAGAAGATTTATTAACAGACAGACTAATGACAGCCTGATAAACCTCTTGGGTGGTGATAGTTTCAACATAATCAACATTTTCAACACTATAAATTTCACTTGGCACACAGTTGAAAAGGTTATAATAGTGCTGTCGCCACAGATCAGCTATCATATTAGCCCCATTTACTCCATCTACTGTGTGTGGTAGAGGGGGTTTACAGTTGTTAACCAGTTTAACCTCTTTCCAAAAAGTTTTAGGGTCGCTACCCAAGAGTTTTTTAGCTATGGACTCAGCTCTCATAGTTTTCTCATTTTTACAGATGAATCTTATTGCATATTTATACTTTGCATTTGATAACTTTTTATGCTCAAATATTGGCCCTTGTCTTGGTTTACCAGCCAAAGCCCAGGAGCGAGTGGCATCACGGGCTTCAGTCTGAAACTGAGCCACGTAACTATTCCAACCAGGCCGAGGCTTACTTCTCCTTTTAGACTTGTGAAATGGCTTGCTAGCTTTCATCAACACTTGGGTAATGTCACAATACAAAGATGAGATCTCAGACTTATGTCTTGAGTTTGTGCAAATATAATCTTTACACATAACCGCCTCTTTAGGCAATGTAATATTGGCCAAAAGTAGATCTGTGTGAGCACCATAGTAGATTAGGTCTTCTGTAGAAAGAGAACTCCAATCAAGAAATTCATTATTTACAGTATTACACGGCTGCAGAGTGACAGGTATATGGTTGAATTTGATAGATATGGATAAAGGGATGTGATCCGAACTGGAAAATTCATATAGGATGTCAATGTCTCCCAAAGATGCATGAGCATCAGCAGTAGTGATACAATGATCTAGCCATGAGGTAGTGTGCCAAGCTTCTCTTATACTGTATATGAGTAGCTCTGGGCAGGCAAT